TATATATATAATATATATATATATATATATATATATATATATATATATATATATATATATATATATATATATATATATATATATATATATATATATATATATATTATTGCACACAGATTACGATACATATATTAGAACACAAAACAGAGGCATGCGTGCACACAACCATATTCATCGATATGGCAAATATCAGCATAATCATGTACCAATTTTTGACCACTTTTGCACAAATATGTCAATACAATTAAGTATCAAATCACATAAAAAATTACACGTGCACATATACTTAGGTCGGCCAAGATATTGCGCATACTCACAGCTATACAATATGAATGCGATGGAAATGAGAACTAGAATGTCCTCTGCCAGTGCACCTACCTTCCGCGTCCTTCAGTGCTGGAGTTTTGAACGTCTTGTCGAAGAGCTGTGGAGTGATATACAGTTATCAGCAACGACCCGGAAACTAAATCATATATAGCAGCATAAACACTCAGTCCTCACAACTATGGCAATATGCTCGATACGCTTTGAAGATCCCCATACATGGGAGTTCGTTAAGCAGTGAAAACAAATCATATACGGTAGCATGAACACTCAGTCCTCGGGACTCCAGTCATGTACTCGATTCGTATACAGGGGATTCGTTAACGTTGTATAGTGAAATACATTATTGCGCACGTACTTATTCCACACCTACCATGCCACGTGTGTAACAATTAATCCGACGACCGAGATATAGGCAGGTGTATATAAACATAAATATAAGCCCTTCCCCACGCCTAACACTTGTGTGTAGCTTGAACGTACCCCATCTGGCGTTGAGGGCAGCCAATCCTCGGTGGCAGTAAGGTAACGCCCGCGATTGTATGTTTTCCATGCAGAACGGATACTCTTCTTCGCTTGAATCATTCGACGTATATGAGTGGTGGTCCCTGTTTGAGGTAAAAGAAATATAAAAATATATATACCGAACGACCATTTTCATGTTCAACTTTGGACAGATACTTTAGGTATGGGCGTATCTATTTAAGTTATTATACTTTACATTCTGTCAAAAATTAGACTTGTATCGGGTGCAGAGAAATTTTCTATATGCCTCCATTTTATGGATCCAAAAAGTGACCACATAGGCATCAAATAATCCCAATATTTGGTACTAAAAATCAGGTAAGTAGAGTACAACATATTATATGTATAGCACATAGAACCCTCTATCCGCATATTGGTTGCGGTTAAAGTACTTGACCCTTTGCGTAAGAGATACAGTCGAGTGCGAATAGTCCAAAAATAAACATGCGTGGGCCATATTGCTTCGAACATTTTAAGGACCGAATGTGCACACATACACGCACAAAGCCACAATGCACAAACAGACAATGGATGCGAAATATTCTGAACATACCAGCTTCATGCCCAAATGTGATCCAATCTCCATATCCCTCGGCGTAACCATCACCTGTAAATCATTGAAGCAGACGAATGAATGAATATTCTTACTTGACAACCCATAAAATATACGCCAAAAAGAGGACAGCACCTATCCACGATGAACCAATTGTGGGGGTATATCTCGATGAATCATCACTTTCTCTCACTATAAATATGTAGATATTTTTATACGAGCATTTATCCACCATGTATGTGTATGTTTTCTGATAAGTCAGTTCAAGACGTATCCACACATATACATCAATATGATTA